TGTGTTGTATTCAAATCTGATCAGGCAGAGAGGGTAAGAGTTCAAGAGAAGCACGTGACATGCGGCCAATGCGTTTTTGATTTTATATTGATTCACAGTAGAGTAGCTTGATAAGCCTGCCGACTACATAAAGGTTCTCTCGCACAATATCGATCGTTAGGAATTTAGTAAAAAGATGCTGAAAACAAAAGAAACGTACCATTAGGTCTATCCTCCTTTCTCGATCCAATTTTTTCTCTTGAATTCACCGGCTTCCCTTTATTACCATAATCCACCTCGATTTCAATTTTCTTCCAATTGTTCCTACCTTTTGATGGTTTTTGTCCGTTTCCAACACTCTCCTGGTCTTCCTGAAATGAAAAACTTTAGAAAATTTATTTTTTTTACGAATTCGTACTTTGATCATTCCTTAAATAGAGGAACGCAACCAAAAAGGAAGTTTCTACAATCAATGACTGTTTCAATATTTCAATACCTGGACGAACTGCAGCGGAACAAAAGACATGTGAACTTAGGAAAACACGTGATGCTGAACGTAACACTTGAAAACACCAAACAGCAATGGTGTTTTAGATAAACAACACCCACACTGACTGTACAATGATATTTAAATGTTTCATTCTTTTCGATAATTTTCTCTTTGTTTTACACAACTTCGCGATTTTTGAGTGATATAATCCCCGTTCATAGTAGCTCAGTGTTAACGACTATTCTATACACTGGATGATGAACCACAGCAGCACAGCGCGAGGCCAAATGACTCATAGCTGAAATAACCACGTTAATCGGCAGTTCGATTTCGCAGTTATTGCGTCGCGTCACTGCTCCTAGCCGACGGTGTTTGTAGTGTCCACGACTGTTAACACGTGCGCTATTCAAGGGTCACATCCCAAATCGACTGTTTCCCATCGAAATGAGGATAGCTCAGTTGTACCAGAATTGCCTGGGAGCACAAAAGCAATCTGGCCATCGGCTGACCTCTGCAAGTTACTGCGTAGGAGACTCGATATCACATTCGAAGATCCCTCGACTATGAAGTAGAAAGAGTGTTGTATCCCAAAAAGGATCAATCAAGGAAAAAAGTTTATCCCTTCATCACAGCGGTTTACCCAGCCTCTAAAATATAGCAACTTCAACAGGATGAACAGCTTGCTTGGTCGATTCATCGCAACAGCAGCGCCCATCATCCCAGCCGCTCCTTTCAATCTATGACCAATGGTGAAGAATTGATCGAAAGGCATTTTTTTATGTAACTGAAACCACATCCAGTGATATGGGCAACCAGCAACAACAAAATGGGCGTGTTGGGCTGGTTCGGTTTCGTTAGCCGCATTCATGCATAACAATTTTGAAAAAGTGGCGAAACTGCGGATCCCCAGAGCAAAAGTACGCCCCCTCCCCATGGGTTTGACACAACGATGCTGTACCCTGAAATTGATACCCATA